TGCTATCATGAAGATTGTTTTAAAGCTTGTCATCATCTTACAGGCCACAATGGTTTAGGTGTTCCTTTGTTGGGTTCCTGTGAACCCTGAATTTTGTTGTTGTTTGCTTAAATTTATGCTCCCATATCTATGCTAAATTGAAGCCAAGTTTGACTTACCATATAAATGAATTTAGCAACCACTAGGTACATAATAAGATAAAAGAACTAGCTGAATTGATTCCTGAATATATGTATATTCTGTTGTTGGTTATATACAGAAGAGTGCTGCTTTTTTCAGCAAAAATGTGGAACAGACAGACTGACTTAGTAGTATTTTTTTAAGTGTAATTAGTTTTTTAATCAAAATCTGTTTATTCAGGGATTGGAAAGCTATTAATATCATTACAAATCAGAAAATCTGAAATATATTTGTACATTGTATCATGCCGGAGTATGTATGACCAAGAGGATTGTACCACATTGGATACCGCTGAATATCAGATGATAATGAAATCTTGTGTGCTGTAAAGGTTGGATCTATTTTGGCATAAAAATCAATGATTTAGCTCAAGAACTTTGTGAGAATCATATCCATACAATGGAAAAGTTTGCTATTGATTGTCTTGAACTTCTTTTTGGTTAGCCAACCACATCTAGAATTAAGGGTTTATAAGAGTAACTGCAATTCTTTGAGGCTCGAGTATGACACCATGCTGTTTTCAGTTTTCTTCGTAGTGCCTAGTTATTTTTGTAAGTTGACATTTTAGGATTATATGGTTAGTTTTTCTTTTGTTGCAGATATCAGGAGCTCATATAGAAATTGTTGACTCGACAGCATCCCATTTTGAACGCATCGCCCGGATATCTGGTACCCTTGAGCAGAAGCGTTCAGCAGAGAACCTAATTCAGGCCTTCATAATGTCTACTTAAGATGATGGTCGAGTACCAGAGTAGGTGACCTTATGCTCTCTCATTTGCAGTGCTCTTCGGGTTTCCTAATCTGGAGAAACATGGGCAAGATCCCTCTTACTTCTGTCCTTCTGTACCAAACATAGTCTGTTTGTTCTTCAAAATCTACTGCCCGCTTGTCCTTCAGAAAAACTATTCCCTATCGTGATTCTATAAACCTGTCTTATCTATTATCGTAGAATTTCTCAGGTCCTTGATTTCCTCAGTTTGATGTTACTTTCTTGTGAAACTTTAGTGTCATGAATATACCCTTGCTGAAGTCTTCAATGACTTTTCATGCTCGGAACTGCTATGTTTCACTATCAAATTTGTGCTTCATCCTTTCATCAGGCAGGGTCTATCTATCAACAGGATGATCAAGTTTGATATGTTATTCACGACAAAATTGAACTTTGCCAATGGTCATAATTGAAACAGAAGAACTAATTGATGACACCTTAATCATTTCTCTCAGCAACTCTTTGTTCTTTTTCCATGATCCATGAGTCTGATGCAAGTTCTGTTTTATTGACTACATCAGAGCTTTAAGCTTATTCATGGTGTTGTATAGTTTTATTTCTCATACTTGTTGCGACATATAAGATTCTTTTTGGCTCTTCAGTACCCTCTTGTAGCATCAGTTTTGACTTTAATCTGATAGCCTCTATGTTATCCCCCTGTTCTCCTTTTCTTCATTATATTCTTTCTTTCTAGCTGTTCTTCAGTCTTCGTTTCATTTTCCCCAGCATCTTTTCTTAATTGACCCAGTCTTAACGATGTTTTGACTTTTAGCTATTGTATCTTGGTTCACTTTGACAAATTGCTCTCTTTCTTGATCTGACATCCTGTCTTATCCCATTTTTGCTAATCTGGTATAAACTAAAGGGTTTATTTAATAGTGACGCCATCGTTTTGGACTCATCAAGACAAGGAATTTAGATGTTTCTGGTGCCCATTCATTTTCCCCATGATTTCATGGGAGCACTTTGTTTGGAGGGTTGTTTTGTAGCTTCATTGACAAGAGGGTTAACTCAAATGGTTGACTGGACTGCTCTAGTTAACCATGAAGAATTCGATTACTGACAAATCATGTAAATTATAAATGTATTAGCCTTGATGTAGCTGTTGGAGTGATCCTGGTGCCTCTTTTCTTCTTTTTAATCCTGGTATATAGTTGTCTTATCATAATCTTTTCTTTAGAACTAAAAGAAGCCAATGGTATCTGAAAATTTTTCATCTCTAAACTGCATGCATATCCGTTGAGTATAATGTTATATCAAAACTTTATGGCTTATTATCTCAATGCTTTCATGTTTTCTTGATACTGTTATCAATCGTATTTTAAATTGTGAATGTTATGTTGAGCCATGGACAAAATTATGGATTAATGCATCTGCTTAGGTTTGATCTTCACAAAATGGGGGAGTGTAGTAGGTTATACTTTTGTATTTGCCGCCCGTTAAACTTGTGTTTGACATACACATAATATATCCTCGTAAAACTCAATATTTTAGATTCATTCTTAGTTGCTATAGTTGATTGTTAGAATAATGAATTTGAAACTTGAATAATACTAATTCCCATCACTTGGGGTTTGAATATTTTTTGTGAAATAATCCTTGTTTGATACAATTTCTGATAATTTTATTTTGCTTTAAGATAAAAGTGTGAGGTGAAACAGAAACTTAATATGATGTTGGAAAGCTGGGAAAGAAGGAAAATTAAGATTACTAACATGAACAATAGGAATGTTTTAGATATTTAGATTTGTTATTATTTATCAAAATTCAAGTTAGACAACATATGTGAGATTTAAACAGTTAAAGCATCGCAACAATTTTTGGTAATTAAACACCACACCATTTTCATCATATTTCTTCAAGAGAGAAGTTTTAGGTCACCTTAAGAAATTTTGACAGCATGAACCCCTGTAATAGTTAAAGAAGTAGAGAGTTATAGACTAAAAATAAACCATGGAAGTGTCTACAGGTGGGCACCCAATAGGACATCAGAATCTTCCAACCTACTCTCTTGGTCTTCATCTTTCAGAGAATGAAGAAGGCACAGCTCCTTTTCTTGGGTCACCATCCACAGGGGTGGGCAAGTTGGCCACTTGAGGTAGCTGCTACCAGGAAGAAGGTGGAGTTGGTTCGAAAAGCAATTCTCCTTGTTGATGGCCAGAACCTAGTTTGGATCCTTTTCCTCTCTATCTATACACAAAGTGGTTCATCTTTTCCTCCTCTTCCTCATAAGTCTTTCTAGTACACAATACTTGATTGTTTGTTCATGTATTTACTTAATCACGATGTCTCATGCATGCAGAAAAAGTTGATGAGAAATCATTCATTGTTGCCTGCTGACATGGCACTAACATGTTGCCGACTTGTGAAGATGTAGGGAGATCCAAGATATCCATCCAGAGTTGCCATGTTGGTGCTGCTGCTATATATTATCAACACCAACTAGGTCCATAAAGGCTGTGTGGAATTGGAGGTGATAACCATTCTTTAGTTGCATGTTAAGTGTTGTTGGCATTATATTAGAACAATAGCTAAGTGGAGTCCTCACACACAGCCTTTTAAAAGGTCAACGTTGATAAGGAGGAACAAACAGGGTTGGCCTGTCAAAGACAGATCATGGTGACATTGAGCTAAACAACAACTACAGCAGTGCAGCTCACACAACGTGCACTTCACAAATCATCCCTTGCCGTTCACCATCTCTCCTGGCTCACTTGTGTATTATGCATGATTGATGTTGATCTAAATGTGCATCACAAGGGGGGGGTGGGGGGAGCATGAAAGATGGTCTTCATTTAAAACATAACAGTCATAAATCAATTCACAAGGGAATTAGAATTATCCGATTCCACCACCTGATGTGAGAGGATTAAATTACATAAAATTTCATCCATTCTATTATTTCAAGGTTTTTCATGAACAAAGAAGAATAGAAAAAGGCAACTCTTCAAGAAATAATGCACCCAAAATATGAGAGAGAGAGAGAGAGAGAGAGAGAGAGAGAGAGAGAGAGAGTTGTGTAGTTACAATTATGGAGGATGAAAGAAAAGAGGACAGACACAAAGTCTTGCAGCCTTTCAGATGATAGATCTTGTGGACCTCTTTTATTCCCAAGTTGTCTTTCAGTTTACATCAAAGGCCCCTATCTCCATCGCACCCTCCCTTGAGTGACGTACTACCACCTATTGTGTGGACCAACAGGAATCGTGATGGTCCTATGTGAGCGAGCACATATGAGCCGAGCCTTAAAAGCACCTTTACTGGAAACTCCCACAAGCTGTGGGCACGCCCTGGATCAGGACGGTGCATTTGGTATGTAGCTTATCATGTCTCTTCTTCCCTAGGTTGTGTTCATGAAGGAATCCAATGATTCCTCACAGTTATATATCTCAAGTATTCTTTTTTCTTTCAAGCCTTTTTTTTTTGTTCTTTTTTAAAGGCAATGAAACAACAATACAATCATTATGTCTCAATTATTATTATTATTATTTTTTTTTGTGAGCGAAATCATATATTTAAAGTCAGATTGGGGTATTTAAATAATCTTCTAAATCTTAACCCTGACTCCTACAATTTCTCATGACCTGCTATCAGGCACATTCACATCCAACATTTTAGTTTGAAAATCAAGATTTGTGCCTAAATATCACGAAAATCAAAATAATCCAATCAAAATCTCTTGTAAGAGACCTGACTCAAAATTTATCTGCCTCACATACTGCAGCAAATAAGTCAATGCTCTTCCTTCAGGTGCAATCTTACTCTTCTTCTTGGCTGACATATACCTGAAGCCAAGCAACTTATTTTGCCTTCCCAGGCATCAAAGCTAAGCTACACAACTCTATCCAGGATACTATACTTCTTTTCTGAACCCATAAACACTGATGTTGAGCATATGTTTATTGTGTGAGATACATGTACAGATTAATCACAAGAAAACATTAAGGCAGGAGCACATACATCCTGGGAAACATGTGTCGAATCAACATAATAGCTATGAAAGCAGGCATAAGCACGAAGCTCCAATAATCAAGCAAACGAAACTAACAACTCATTTATCCAATCTAAAAGATGAATTAAATCAGAGAGTCCACAATGTTGAGAAACTAGAGTTGCACCATATGGCCGACAGGTCCCGGGCAAAATGTTTTCCTTTCCATATCGAGGATTGAAAACATGGGCAAATTCACCAAAGAATAAGAGAAAAGGAAACATGAGGTTAAACTCGAACTTCTAAAATGAGACCTCAGCATCACTGGATGAGACATCATGTTTGGATGAGACCTTCTGCTTTCTTCCATTCCTTCTCTTGCTATTAGCGCTTCCTTTTCCTTTTGATGACTGCCCTGCATCATTCAACTACGAACGCAAAACAAGAGCAATCAGCCCACCTTCTGTTGTTAAAAGTAATAATTTGAGCATCATTTTTATAAAAAAAAAAATGCCACATTAGGATGGACAGGCTCAAATAGATGACTGTCAACCTGACAGTCAAAGAAGACAAAAATATCCCCTATCATCTGGAGAGGATCATCTTTCTAAAACTAATTTGATCCTCACATGTCACTTTGTTATGGTAGTATTTAACACAGACTGAATATGGATTCAATGTGATCAAAACCAAAAGTTAAATGCTTAATTTCCTATTTAGAATTTGCTGAGATCAGGTCCACCACTCACCAATAGACCTCTTTAAAGGAAGCCACTCCTACCTAACTATTTTGAAATGATTAACACCGATGTAGCGTAATCAAAGTTCATCCTGTGTCAACCTACTAGACCCGGCACGAGCAGGTTTGATCATGCAAGTAAACCTTCAATTGTCTAAATTAAGGTCTAATTACACCAGAAAATCATTAAACAGCACCCCACACATCTATAATCTACTTGAAATCTTGAGAAATGTGTGATAATATTGTTCCTGTTTTGCATTTATAAGGAAACATGACTTTTTCCAGCTAATTTGGTGTGTCGTTCATATTCAATCAACCTACAACCACTAATATCTCCAGGTCAACTGGATGGTGACCATGAGATGGCATATAGATCACTAATTACTTTGGAACACACAATGGTTGAAGCCTTAATACTTGATACCTGATTGGAACTTCACCTAGTTTAGTATAATACTAAATGATCAAATCACAGCAGCTGAGGAACACCCAAGTGTATGTATGATCAGACCGGAACAACTCAGTCACTCACCCCGAAGCAGAAGCCAGTGGAACTGTTTTCCAACCCATCCAGCTTTGCCTTCTCCGAGTTGCCTCTCTTGTTGCTGCCATTGTTCCCTCCATCAGCAAACTGCAGTCCTGATGGCATCGAGCAATTGAGACCGTCGGTTGGCCGAGCTTGGGGGCCACTGTGGATGGAAGAATCACCGAATCCGGCGTCCAGGTCGTCCTGGAACATATCCAGGAACATCCGCTGCAGCTCCTCAAAGCTATCATGACCATTCTCCTGCACAGTTTAACAGCTCAAATTCCATCAAATTGATCTACCAACATCAAAATGGCATGCAGTTTTAGACCAAGAAACCAATAAAAAGGAAGTCTTACCCCAGATTTCGTTTGGCTCATCATCTGAGCTATCTCCCCAATAAAATCCCCCATTCCCTGCAGTAAAAACTACTAATTGTAAGAGAATATTGATTATGGCAAGTAAAATAGAGAACAAATGCATACTTTTTCGTCATTATCATCCTCGTTATCGTAGATTCCCACATCATACAGAAATCTCTTGCTGGAGTCCGAGAGAACTGTGGAAAATCGAAGACAGAGACCCATAACAACGGCCTTTTTTTTTTTTTGTCTATTAAGTGAAACCACGAGAAGTTTCTCTAAGTTCAATAAAGAAAGAATTGATGCATATTAGAGATCAATGTATATAACGTTCCTTACAATGCAAATTCTTCCTGCAAACGAAAGATCGAGCAACATAGAACAGGGGAGATGGTGTGGAAAGGAGAGGAAGAACAGACCAGAGTAGGCTTTTTGGATTTCCTGGAACTTCTCCTTCGCTTCCTCCATCCTTCGATGGTTTCCCGAAGCCGAGCACTTATCCGGATGCCATCTCTGTCGCCCATTTTTTGACGAAATGGACAAAACTTCCGTCAAAGACAGATCCAGGTGGAAATTTTCGGCTTTGTCGATCGAAAACGAGTAGGAACCAATCGAAGAAATCAGGAATTCCGGTCAATTCCAAAAGCGACCAACCAGAATCATCCGAAGAAAACATGAACCAAAAGACTACAAAAAAAAAAAGATAAAAAATCGAAACTTTGAGATGGTAAGTCAATCAAATCGCTCTAGTTCCTCCAAAGACATCATCTTTCCGGTCTCTCTAACCACAGAGACTCCGAAACCAACCGTCCAAATTGAGGAGAAAGCAAATACTTTTGAGTCTGCAAGCATACCATAGCCAGCTTCTTGTACGCGATCCTCAGCTCCGCCTCCGAGCACTCCTTCCTGAGCCCCAGCACCGTGTAGAAATCGCCGATCTTTTCCTCCCCGGCGGCCATTGGAACCCCGCTTCCGCCAGGATACCATAAACGCCTCCTCCGCCGCCGGTAACGTAGGGACGGACCAAAGCTCCTCCACGGACCGAGTTGACACGAGTCCCTGACGCAACCGCGAGAGAGAGAGAGAGAGAGAAGAGAGAGAGGGGCGAGGATCAAACGTAAGAAGACCTGGGGAAGAGCCTCACGGCTCCTCCTCTGCCTCCGACTCCGAGAGAATCCTCCAGAAACAGTCACCTCCTGCCCTTTTTACGGCATAGTAGTCCAGGAGGTAAACCCACCGCGATCCTTATCCTGACTACCGGCTGTCTCTCTGAGATCGAACGGTGGGTGGGGCCGCGGACGGACATGGACGGCCTAGATTGGACGGAGCGGAGATATTTTTGGCATCTATCCCGAAAGTTCTCTTTTGGTCAACGCTGACGGAGTTGCGGCCGGACCGACGGTGCGTCCCACCACCAGATATAAAAAAAGGGTGCCGCGCGAACGCTTCGCTCGCCTACCCGCTTCCGGCGTCGCCCGTCTCACGTATCCGCTTCCTTGTTGGATGCAGCGATAGCGGCCACGCGGGAACCGCGTCTGTCGCATCAGATACTGTGGGTCCCACTACTAGATATGTATATATATATAAAGGGAGGCTCCCGAATGCTCCGCTCGCCTACCCATGTTGGGCCCCGTCTCACGTATTCGCTCCCTTACTGGAAGCAGAGACGAGGCCCACGCGGGACCCGCTCTCCTGCGACAATTTCACTCTCAGAAACGGTGGGCCCGATGAGATGACATTTCGTGCCTCGTAGCTTTGGTCGTAGCGAATCTTTCTTGTTCTCACCGCGTTATCTGTGTACGTACAGGTTGACTCGAACTCGTGATCCGAGTCGTGGCCGTGAGCAGGTTTGGGTGGACTTGAAACAACCCCTTCCGTCGTCAAATCGATCGATCGTGGCGCGTCCCCTCTAATTTATTATGGTGCACGTGATGATACATTGTTGCCGTTGTTTGACTTTAGACTCGTTTCATGTCATGAGATGATTAAAGGTCTTCAAACTTACAAGTCATGATTTGGTCCGACGAAAATGTTTACCGGATGTCAAATCTTCATCATCCATGGCTTCGTTCCAACTTCTCAATTGCCTCTTACATTTGTTTCACGGAGGGGATTAAAGCATGAACAAGCCATCACAAGCTGTTAAGCCACTACGCATGAGGCAATTAACACGAGATTTACTCGCATGCAGTAGAGTGGTCCACAAGTTAGGGGTCAGTTGTAAAGAGGAATTAAGAATCACTATCTAGAAATTATACTGAAATCAACAGCATGTGTTTCGATTCTTCTACAACAATAGACAATCAACATCTTCTTCCAGCACTGTTGTTCTTGCTACCATACCACCAATGCAAGTTATCGGTACGAAAAAGTAGCAGAACGAAGATATATAGAGAGAAATTAACAATCATTATCTAGAATTTCTAGAAATCAACAAAAGAGGGAACGAAGATATAGATAAATTAACAATCACTAACTAGAATTTCTCAAAATCAACAGTAATGTTTTGAGAACACCGTCATCATGGTTACATTTTATTTTACAACAATAACCAACAAGATCTTCTTCCAGTATCGTTCTTCCTGCGGTACCTTGTAGCTAGCCAACTTTGAATCTGAATGTAAGTTAATTTGGATCTCCTTATGCTGAGAACTGTGTTTAGAGGGACATTTTGCTATCACCATTTATCACACGATTGACAAATTATGCCTCTCAGAACCACTAAAAGCCTTTTGTCGTAGATAATTCCTCGATCAGCATTCATAAGCTTGCTTCCGAATCTGAAAGGCACGCCTTCAAATATTCAGTTGCAAACATGGCCATAATAGACAGAGACGGCTGCACTTTTTGCTCGCTTTTGATCTAGGTTAAAATGCTTGCAGGGTAGTAAATAACCCTTGGAATTGCAATACATAGCTGCTCATTTAAGTAGATAGCTGAATCCTCTTAGATAGCTCCCCAATTCTAGTGTGGCAAGAATGGCAGTGGCATTAGTTACTAAAAAATGAAAAGGAGAATCAACAGTAAAAACTATGTATTTGATAATTGTTAATGCATGAAAGGAGAGCTTAATTATGTTTAGTTGCTAAGGGCATAGTAACAAGCAATGGCCCTTTGAGAGGGGAGGAACAAGCCACGTCATGACAAATCTGCAGACACAAAAATATCATAATCTTGCCCCCCTGACCAACTACTGTATTTTGCTTCTAAAATAAAACCAATATTGAAGAAAGGTACAACCATGTCCAACCATGTGAATGGGGACTTGAGATCCAAACGATTTGAAGAACATCTGAAGAAGGACTGGTGTTGGAGCACCAGGCAGAAGAACATATAGAACTAACTTTTAATAAGTATATTGCAAGGCCATTCTGATCATAGTTAAATAATACAATAATTCATATCTTATTCACAGGTAACTCCAAGACAACCTCAAGGTGAGCATGTAAAACAAAGCAGGAAATTAGAGTAGTTCTGACATCAGTGTGACAGACCAAGATACTACACAAGAATAAATGCTTTGGCATGGATTTTAAACATTTCAAGCAGATACCGAGACTAGAGGGGTTTTCTTAGATTTAAATCCCACGCTACATGTTACTGTTTTGTGCCTCTCATCTAATGATAGTGCATGTCATTTTCACTGAGTCTACCAGTTGGATTATGCTATCGAAGTCACTATGGCAAAGCAAGAAAATTATGGTGTCTTTGGTTCATCATAAAAGAAAAATTTATGAAGGATGTCAGTTTTTGGTTCAGCTGCAAAAATTTTTGATGTTTTTGTCTTTATTTTTTTATGTAGCACATAGTAGAAAAAACAACATACGGAGTTAATGGCACTTCACGCCTGAGATTAAGCAAAGCAATTACCAAGTTCTGAAACAACTTACCTTACTCTTTCCACACAATGCACATTTGTATGATTTTCCTGCATTAGTAGTGCCACTGCATCATAGTTTTCTTTAATATGTCAGTACTTGCTATGCTGGGAAAGCAGCTGGAACTAGTAAAAGAAAAGCTGTACGGATTAGTAGTGGCACATTAAGCAAACTGGAGCTATTTGCACTTACCATTTTGAATGATTTGTTTTTCTGAGACAAGCAGTTGACTGTTAGGTTTCTGAAGCATGTATGCTTTGTTTGCCACTCGAAGATAATGCTTCTCTATTATGCGGTTTAGAAAGCAAATCATGATTGCAAGCTGAAGGCATGACTGGCAGGATCCCACCAGGATTCAGAGGAAATAGAGTACAGTAGTAACCATCCATGATAGCCTCAAAATTGCACGTACTCACAACCTCTGGAATCTGATACATATCACATGTATAGCCATAAAGATTGGGGTACTCAAGTAGCTTCTTCTTTGTGCACTTGAAGAGGACGTTGTACACAAGGTCGAAACGGATCAAAGTAGTAAATAGGCAGACATCAGCTAAAGTCAGTGCATCCCCACACAAGTAGCGAGAGGTAGACAGATGAGATTCTATCATATCCAATGTGTTGAACAATCCATTGACTGCAGTGTCATATGCTTCTTGGCTCTGCGCAAACCCGCATCTGCAAAACGAAGCTAACTGTTGTCAGCGAGAGATTTTATATACATCCAATAACACAATTTCACAAAGGAACCAAAATTGGTCGTCCATCGATCTAATTGTTTTCCATCAAAACAAGGTAGTTGGCAAAAATTTTCCCCTTTTTTCATTAAGAATTCTTGGCAATCCAGAGAGAAAAATGCCTGCTTGGGCTGACAAAGATCATGCACAACTTGTCCATTACAGACTTCATTGCGAGATATGATAACATTCTCTAATAGATATTGTTGGAATTGTTTAGCTCAACAAAGTTGCATGAAGATCCCACAGAGCTCCAACTTGGAAGAACACATAAAAGAGAGCTTCTTGCGCAGGATATATATATCAAACGCAGAACAGAGCAATTGGAGTAACACCGAGATAAGGACAGAGAGTGCTCATTACCTATAAACCCCATTGTTAACGTTGGGATAGATCACCCGATTCCAGTCGTCGATCTCGTTTTTGAGCTCCGACGGGCAGAGGTCCAACCCTGAGCCACCATGGACCTCACCACCGAAGTCAGCGGAGTTCAAGAACTCGATGATCGCGTAGCTCTCGTTGCACACCACTTCCTTCCTCTCCGCGTCCCAAAGCATTGGCACCGTCGACCTCCCGTCGTAGCCGCCCCTCCGGAGCCCGTACACCTCCCTCAGCGTACTCCGCGCATTGGCGCGGTCGGGCCCGGGTCTCAGATCTTCGCCGACGGCGGAGGGTCCACGGGGGCGGAACAGCCAGGAGCCATCGAGGCCGGGGGCCGCGATGGAAACGGGGAGCGCGGAGCGGAGGCCCTTAAGCGCGCGGACGACGAGGACGCGGTGCGCCCAGGGGCAAGGGAGGGCGACGTAGAGGTGGAGGTTCGTGGGGTTCCGGCAGTACGAGGCGGGGACCGAGGGAAAGGAGGAAGTGGGACGAGCATAGGAGCCAGGTGGGGAGGCGGCGGCGGCGGAGGAGGAGGGAGCGAGTTGGCGCATCATTAGGTGCCACGCGGCAGACCATCCGGATCGGACGGCAGAGACGAGGGCCTGAGGGGGGAGGCCGCGGCCCCAAAGGAGACGCCCGGCGGCAGTGACCAGGTCCTCCTTTGCGTCGCTAGAGGAAGAGGAAGAGGAGGAGGAAAGCACGGTAAGCGTAGAGCATCGACGGCGTTCGCTGGTGCGGTGTCGGAACCCGCCGGAGAGTCGGGGACGGGGTTGCGGAGTCGGGGGGTTGGGGAGGAGCGATGCGGCCGGCCACATGTTGTCGATGGGGTGTCATTTGGTGCGTCGAAGGTCGTTTAAGAGCTGCGGCGTCACGCTTTGAGATGCGCTCACAAACTCGATTGATGCTTTAACATCCGTGCCGAAGACCCCGACGTATCAGCATCACACTGGTAGCGTGCGCAAAGGCTCGATGGATATATTTAAGAGTCGTGCTTAGGCCCATGAACAAGAATAAACCTCCATACATTCTCTCACTCATGCAAGCCATAAATACTATTTCCTTGACTTAAACCTTAATATTGTTTTGATTCTATGATGCATTTTTCCAGTGTTATTATAGTTCAGCATGATAAAATTATCTAATTACAGAATCAATATTTCTGCTTCATTTTCAAATGGAGTGATCTGAGCTGAAGCAGTTCAATGACTATTGTTTAATATCACAAATGCTTAGTTTTTTTATTGAGAAATGCTGATGGTCAACATATATATACATATACATATATATATATA